GCTCGTCTTGCAGGTTGATGCCAGCTGTGCTGCACGTGCTCAGTGACAGGAAGGAGCTGCTAACCAATGAGATCTACCAGCTCAGCGCCGTCACCGCGCTGCAGCGCGTCACAGAGACGCTGCCGCACTTCATCAGCCCGTACCTGCAGGACATCATACTCCAGGTAACGCACCAGAGCGGCGGTCATAATTGGGTCAGCGCCCCTCGGTGGGCTCACCGTCCTACGCCGTGTCCCTGCAGGTGTGCCGCCTGACTCGCCTCACAGAGACCGCCTCCTCTTCCTCCTCCTCATCCTCGCCTTCCGCCCAGCTCTGCCTGCGTGTCTCATCCCTGAGAAGCACACTGGCCACCAAGTTGCCCCCCAGGGTCCTGCTGCCGACCCTCTCTAGGTGTTACAGCTCTATGGTGGAGGACAGGAAGGTGAGCGGTGTTCCTGATCCGATCACATCGCTAGCAATAATTCTTTCTGCTGAGGCTCGGCTCGTTTCCCTGCAGGACCAGCTGGAGGCGCTGATGAGCGTCCTGAAGGAACACATCGCTCAGATGGACAGCGAGCAGCTCGCCGTCCACCAATCAGAGCTCACCACCTTCTTCCTGACGGCGCTGGACTTCCGGGCCGAGCGCTCACAGGTTAGCATCGGGAAGATGGAGGTCGGTCTGGTTCTGACCCGCTTTAAGACGAATCTCTCTCTCTGTCCTATCAGGGCGATCTGCAGAGGGCGTGGCAGGTTGAGGGCGGAGTCATCGAGTGTCTGATCACCATGGTGATGAAGCTGTCCGAGGTCACGTTCAGGCCGCTCTTCTTCAAGGTGACTCTGGGTTGAAGTCTTTGCAGTGATTCTCTGCAGAACCGTGACTGAAGCCGTCTGTTTATCCTCTGCAGCTCTTCGATTGGACCAAATCGGACAGGAAGGAGCGCCTGCTGACGTTTTACCGCCTCTGCGACCGCATCGCCGAGCGGCTCAAAGGACTCTTCGTCCTGTTTGCAGGAAGCTTGGTGAAACCTCTGGCTGACGTGCTGAAACAGACCAACGGCTCCAGAACAGGTTCCTGAACGTTCTCCAGAACACGCCTCCTCTGCAGGAATCCTGCTGATGAGTCACGCCTGCTGATGAGTCACGCCTGCTGATGAGTCACCTGCTGTCTGACCTTCTGTCCGTTCCAGATGAGCTCGTCTTTGACTCGGAGGAGAAGAACTGCCTGCTGCTTCAGCTGGTCCTTGACGTTCTGCAGAAGATCTTCCTGTACGACACACAGAGGTTCCTGAGCAAAGAGCGAGCCGACGCCCTGCTGGGTCCGCTGGTGGACCAGGTGAGACGCCTCACTAATTTTGACGCTAAATTTAGCGCCTTTTCAGACCCCTATCAGCGGCGGCTATAAATTCACAATTTACCAAAAAACATTCAAACGTTTACTAAGTTATCGCATCAGTTTATTTATATGAATGCCAACAATAAAAACATTATAAAAACAAAACATCATTTCATGTCCAGGTTTACTTTCTGTCCATAAATCTTGTCCTTCTAAAGCTGTGAAGGTAAATCGGTGTTTTATCCAATATTGGGTCACAAACCTAAAAAAATTATGAAGCAGTCTAATAATGGAGAAGCTATTAGTCAGCTTTAGATTTTTTGATAGATATAAATTTATTTTCTGAGAATGTGTTTATTGTTCATTCTTCTTTTCCTTTTTTGTAAAGTGCTTTAAATCAGTCCTATCTGTCTTTATCCAAGCTGGATCAGATCCTGATGTTTGAAAAAGGAGGCAGGGAAAGCAGGATAAAGCCTTAGCCTCGCTGCATGCAGTTAGCCTGGCTGCACGCAGTTAGCCTCGCTGTTAGCCTCGCTGCACGCAGTTAGCCTGCTGCACGCCGTTAGCCCCGCTGCACGCCATTAGCCTCGCTGCACGCCGTTAGCCTCGCTGCACGCTGCTAGCCTCGTTGCACGCTGTTAGCCTCGCTGTTAGCCTCGCTGCAC